ATATTTGTTATGATTTTGTAAGTCGTGCTATCCGTTTATCCTTACGTTAACCTTTACGAAGAATCGTGCCTAGGGTAAGAAACAATACCCGAGCGGTACGTTCGGGAACACGCGTCAGCACGTGGCCAACGCCATAATGACGCATGCAGTGAGAATACACCCTTAGACGTCTGTGCCAGAGCCATTACACTCTTCTGTCCTCACTAGTCACTACACAATGCTACACAATTCAGTTGTGGTTCACTTTCAATACGATTTTAATATAATAATAAAAAAACAGTCAGTTCGATAAACTCTTGTATTGAGCTCCGTTACATTATCATAAAAAAAATATATATATAATCTTTTACGCCAGTGGACCACAGTGGACTCAGTGGACACCAGTTCTGTAATAAAAAAACGCTTCAGTGTATGTATGTGAATACATTTCTTGAACAATACCGGAGTTTAACAATACATAAAATCTATTGAATCGATCTATTGTTTTCTTACTTACACATACGTAGCATACTCAGTTAGAAAATCTTAGCATTCGTCAACACTCGTTGTGACCGTCGAGTTGCGTATTCGCGTGGCTCATCAAGCATGCTTCTAACCTAAGCTCGCTGACAGGTGAAAGATCAATTATGCGTCGTCTTGCAAGAAAGAAATGGATTCACAAGGGAAACCGAGTAGATCTTTACCGCCGTTAGTCGAAGGCAGAGTTCATGGCAGTCTGAAGCTCGTTATCGACGAAGTCTTCTGGATCGGAACAAGCCCTGGTGACGTTACTGTAGTGGCTTCCTGGTGGGGCGAACGTGATAATGCACAGTTCAGGTGACTTATAATATTTTTACGCTATTCTTAAAGCAACTTGTTTTACGAAAAAATTAAATGATATTCAAAGGAGGACGTTAAAAAAGGGCAAATTTTGGCCGCCAAAGATGTAAGTAAAAACAATAGTGTTCGTTTTTCTAGATTTTGATCTGAATACGATAGAACTATTAAAAAGTTTGTAGCGCTTGAGGAACACCTTGAAAATTTAGCATAAACACAGCGCATTTAGTAAAAATACTATATTTATGCTCAATTTTTAAGGTGTTCCCCAAGCGTTACAAACTTTTTGATAGTTCTATCGTATTCAGGAGACCAAAATTTATTTTAAAAAACTATTGTTTTTACCTACATCTTTTTGGGCCAAAATAGGCCCTTTTTTAACATCCTCCTTTATATCGATTGTATTTGAAAATATTTTATTGCCTTCTTGTGGCTCGTGTAATAAAAAGTATTTACTTTCTTTTTAGACTAAGCGACAATATCACAGGAATAGAAAGAGCAGATGAAGATATGACTGAGGTGTATGTTATAAAAACTAACACGACACTCTTTGAAGATTACATTAAAAATTGTGACACGATAGAACTAGCGATTGTTGCGGAGAATATCCATGAGGTTATCGGTAGGGGACATGTAGGAGAATTGTCCAAGATATTTGCATGTAAATATTGTTCTCAATTTATTCCGATATTGAATAATAATGGCCATAAAATAGGAAAATTACATGTTTCTTTGCAATTAACGTATTTGACAAAACCTACTGATGCACAAATGAAAACATGTAAAAACAGTAAAAAGGAGGATAGAGATATTTTGTTACTTTCCATTGACAATTTACAATATAATGAGAAAATGCCAGTGAAATCTTACGATATGGAGAACACTGAACGGAAGAGATCTAAGAAATCTGAAAAGATTGATACGTATAAATCTGTTCTCAAGACAAAACGACCAGAGTTTCGAGAATCTGGGAAAGAACTGAATGAAATGGTAACAGATAAATTGATCACTCAGATTGTTGCTAGAGCGCAGCATCTTAGAGAGGCAATATTAAAGGAGACTTATAAAGAGGATTCCTTCACTCTGAGCGATAGTTCATTGAGCAATGGATTACATTTTTATGCTCCATCAGCAAACAGAGAGAAACTTTATAAGTATATTTTGGGGGTAGAAATGTCTCCCTTAGAGGAAAAGAAGGTCTTGAATATGTTGAGATCAACGTCTCCAAATTTGATAGATTTGGCATCAAAAATCATTACAACTGATAAAGACAATAACATGAACACTGGATGGAACAAAAATTTCTCTGCAATTTTGGACAGTCTTAAAGAAGATACATTGAATGAAGATGCCACTTATACTGAGTTGGAAGGTTTGTAAAGTAACTAACAGTAACTATTGTAATTTGTAGCTATTATCAATTAGAAGTAACTACACAGTATCTATTTTATGCCACATGTTTTGAAACTTATTGTTAGATCTCTTTATCTCGTTTGATCAATCAAATGCTTTGAAGCATCTGTAACGCTATGTAAACTATAGCTACACAGTAAAAAAAAATGTTTTTGTATTTATGTTAAAAAATAAAAACGGTCCGCTTATGTTCTTGTTAAAATTTTGTCTCAAATTTTTAACATATTTACTTGTTAAATGAACATAATGTGATTATGTTATTTAAATATTTTGTGTTAAATTGATATTCAATATTTTTCATTGTCAAAATAACACAATTTACAAGTATGTGAATAAATAACATAAAAATAAAGTAGCTTTAAATCATAAGTTCTAAGACAAGTGAATAAAAGATAAATAAACTTGTTAATTTTACATGTTATAAGTGTTAAATTTACTGAAGAATAATGTTTCTACAATTTGTTTTCAAATTGTATTAAAGTGTAATATTTTTTGTGTTAATTTTTACATAATGTTTGTATTACTTTCTAACATATTCATTTTGCGTTAAATTAACACAAAAATTTGAGTGGACCATTTGGGTCATGTGAGATATGTTAACTTAACACAAATTTTTTAAACTGTGTAATGTTAAAATTATTACAGTGAATTATTTGTATTATTTCAGGAACAGATCCTCTAGATTATGTAAACAGTATTAAAATTTTTATTAAATCTTTCACACTGACACCCGCAGGATACAGACGTGCAAAATCTACATGTTTGCAATGTACGTAATTTTTTAAATATCTTATAATTTGTTAACATATTTTTATAAATCTTCCAAGCCAAATATTTATCATCTTTTTTTTTTTTTCTTATGCAGATGGCATGCCATTGTCACAGACATATTTTATTCAGTATGATACGACATTTGGATCTACAAAGCAAACAAATACCAAATCTAGTAAAGAAATTAAATTTATAAGAACATGTGCTAAGAAGCAAGTGGGTCAAGGTAAAAAGTTATAGTTTTGTGGGAAAATTATTGAAACGCAAATATTATTTTTAAGTTAAAATATAAGTTTCATGGAAGAATAATTTTTACAGTTGTCAACTTTAACTACGAGGGTATTTATAGTATATCAAAACATAATATAAGTAGAAACTTTCCTTTGAAATTTAAAGTTTTTGTCAAACATCATAATCAAGAACTTCCGACTGGATTAGGATTTGGTTTCATGAATATCAGTGACGTTACAAATACTACGAACTTAAGTAGTACTCAGTGTATAACTATTGTGAATAAAGGTATCAAAATAGGTGAATTAAATGTTACAATAGAATTAGGTTGCGATTTTATTCATTTTGGAAAAGAATTACTTGGTGAGTACATGTTGAGAGATATAATTTTGTTGGTCCTAACATTTTGTCGAATATTTAATATTCAAATTATTTCTCCAGACGCTATAATATCCAAAAAGGAAAATCTTCCTATTTTGAAAAGGAAATCTTTGATGAACTCAAATGATAATAAATATAAAAGTGCAACAGGGACTCATTCTTCTAAATCTAATTGCAAAGTGTCATCTGTTTCTGCCAAGCGAATTGAGTGTTTAACTAGTAACAGTAAAGATATAATTATTACAAAAGATATGACACAGCATCAAGAACAAAGCTTAGATAACAAAAAGATTGATACAAGTAATCCAGAAAGCGATACTAAAGACAAGGTAGGTTCAAATGACAAATTAGAGCTTATTGAATGAATACTATCCATTTATATTAAATGCTGTTGAATATTAAGGAAAAGCTTTCAAAGTCATAAGCAATAGGAAGCAATAGAAATTGTATTAAATAATAAGCAAAAATCAAGGTTGGGTAGTAAAGTAACTAGTTAAGAAGTTAAAAATTAAATAATAATGTTAAATAGTTAATAACTTTTAACGCATTTAAAATTAACTTAGTTAATTTTAAAAACATCAACTATTAAAATTAAAAAGTATCGGACTGGCTCATATAATTAATAATTAAACAAAATATCAAAAGAAGAGCTAGTGAGTCTTGCACGGAGTTAGTGTCGTGATATCAAGTATATTTAGAATAAAAATTAGCACCCAAACGTTTCGGCTCCGCATTGAGCCATCTTCAGTGGGTAAAAATACAAAATTTTTTAATACATTGCATTAAAAGTCGTTTGATAGCTGTAAGATCGCTTGTAAAAATCGCTCGCGGTGAGATCGCTCGTTGAAAGATCGTAGTGTAATGTGATCTGGTACATTGGTGAGTTTTTTGTCCTTGTTTTCATATGTAAGAATAAGTTTCAATCTTATAGGAAATTTACAAACAGTCCGGAATTTATTAGGTCGAGTCAGAGTAATTCAATATACATGTCTAAAATAATGGAGAATCCCTTCACAATCACATAATTAACCAAGAGTTACAGTACGGTTCCCCCCCC